TATTATTAATAAAAAGTGCTACTATAATTTAATTTGATCAAATATTTATTTTCTAAATTAAATGGATAATTTATAAAGTGTTATTCTCATTTTCATTAATAATAATCACAATTTATAATTTATAAATAAAAATTACTAAATTTTTTACAAAGTTTGATTGTTAATATTTAACAGTAAAATTCCATAAACATCCTAAATTTAGAATTTCTTATAAAATATATGTATTAAGCTCATTTAATTTAGTCAAAAGATGAATATATCATTAGTAATGAAATTAATTCTAAATCCCTTCAATGATTTTTATATTATTTATTTGACTATCCAATTTTGTTTATTTGAAACTTCCATAATTATTAGTTTTAGATCAGATACACAGGAGATTAATTTTGTTCCTTCTTCATTTAGTGATAATCCTAAACACAGTATAAATGTGCAGTTATTTAGATTTTGATTAATAAAATCTAATAGCATGGTCAGTAGATACAGTTATAATAAGATCTTCTTAAGGAGAGTTTATTAATAAACAATTAATTTAAGTAATATTTTGTGATATTTTCATTAGAAATCTTGCAGTTGATTTGAGAATTGAAGATCGAAATATAATATTACACATATATGAAGATGTTACAAAAAACTATTAAGATTTGAAAAGTTAATAGTACTAACTGAAAATCTAAGTTATTAAAATATTTGAATTAATTTTTTCTTTAAGTTGAACACTTTTATATTACGTCTATCCTCTCCCATAACAATCATATTATTATGATTCATAGCAATAGCATGAAAATATTTATTTTTTGTAGTCATCTTAGGAATTAATTCATAAAGTAAAAATCCTAAGCTAGAATTTATATTTTGATATTGGGTATTGGTTTTATTAATATTTCTTAAAAAAGATTATCTAATCGATAATTCTAAATAATCAAATTTTAAATAAAATAAAATGAGAAATAATAAAAAAAACTAAGAAAGGTGAATTCATATCTACAAAAAGAAGTGAAGTAATTTTATACTTTGGATTATGTACATATATGAAACACAAGTTATAAACTTTATAGAAATCCTGTAGGAAATATTAATTGGACAAAATAAGCTATGAATAAAATAGGGATAGCTTCTGATAACCTGCAACTAGTATTTGATATAATAAGAAAACGATCCTAGAATGAAAGATCATCAAGTATCCGAAAGGACCATATCCACATAAAAAAGGTGTCGTAACGTTCTTACTATGAAATGAAGGGAAAACTTGACATAAGAGCTATGCCTTGCAAATCAAAAAATACTGTTAAGACCAACAACCTAAAATAGCCATGCCAAAGTAAATAATTATTATAATCTAAGATAAAGTTAGTAGAACTCTGAAAGGATAGATGAAGATAATTAAAACTAAATTTTCTGTTGGAATGCAAAAAGATTGTAGATATCCACTATATCATTTGGTCTAGCATTATTACCTCTAGTCATCTTGACTTCAAATCTCTCAAAGCATATCTTCGATTGAAAACTTGAAAACTAACTTCATTTCTAAACCTTAGTGTAATATAGCTTATTTCTAACTAGGTAAGATGAATCACCTTGTTATTCAAACAGCTGTGAAAACCCTTTAATTCACTAATTCTTTATTAGCCTAAACAATAATTAATTCCATTCATTTTGTGAAAAATTATTACAAAATCTCATATGAGCAAACTTTTTCTCTGAATTTTTAGAATATTCTTCCTTTCTATAACAGCCTACATCCCTTTCTTTCAACCATTCATCTTGGAAACTTCTTCTTATTCTAAGATAATAGCTTTATTCATATTTTAGAAAAAGATCTCAGAATTGGAATTATTATTATATATAAAAATATATTTATATTAATTTTATTTACATGAAATAAAGTTTGATTTCATAATAACTTAATATTTGTAATTTTAACTAAATATTTGATAATCTCATGAAATGTACAATGAAATATATTATGAGAACAATTACTAATTAGAATTAATGGCAATAATTATCTGGATCATCTAGGAATATTATTAATCAATATTACACTCATTATATATTGAATTTCGATTTAATAATAATCCAAATGTAAGCTGACTCAAGTATTAAGATACACAAATAAAGAAATTATCCAATAAGGTTAGTTGAACCCCAAAAATATATAGCAGTTTATTATGGTCGAGGATTTTTTTAAAGCTGACCTATGAAAATGTTCTTACTTAAATTAAAAATAACAAATATGAATAATTGAAAGGTAACTACTAATCATAAAATAAAAATCAATATAAAATTAATATAAAGTGTATTGTAAATATGTTTAAAAACAATTATTATAATATCTTATGAAATTTGACTTTAAAAATGATATTTGTATTTTAAGAATATTAAATATTTAATATATCTTTATACATTATTGTTAATAGAATTAATATGAATTTGTTATTTGTCTAATCTTAAGAAGATATTCTAATTCTACATTGATATTTACAATAGTTGGATCCTTATTAACTTCAATTCAATTAGCAAATCTTTGTTAATAAAAGTTGAAACCGTTGAATCATTTGTAACATGAAATTAAAATACTTGAATTGTGATTGTAACGCAAGGTTTTGGATTTCTTTTATATTTATTAAATAATCTTGGTAAAAGATTTACAGCCGTAAATATAGTGTATATGTTATCAAAATACATCAATTTAGGTTCACTATTAAAGAAGCTGCACACTTTGCTTGACTAACACAAAGGTTGACCATAATAAAAAGTGTTAACGATTTTCAACCAATTCCCACAACTTACTACTTCAAAATCACCTAAATAAAAGATATCTAGGATATGATTTTTGAAGACTAAATCATATAACATATATTAAAATCATAATATACTCTATATAGAAGGGTACCACCTTTCTACAGTAATCACTATTAATTCTAGTCACTAAAGTATGCTAAAATTAATAGCTGTTTTCATTAATTCTAGGGGGGAAGCTAGCTAATTTAATAATAATGAATAGAGAAATACTTCTTATTCAATATTAACTTTATTATTAGACTACTAAGGACTAGCTTTAAAAAACTTTCGTCAAATTATAAATCCTAATACAATAAACTTCAATTAGGAGGGTCACATATAAAGATAGCAATATTCATCTAAGTATCACTACCTATTCCCATATTTATTCTTTTTTTTTCAAAATTGATATCCTCTAACTATTACTACCAAGTTTAATATTATAGAATTAAATTTTCAATGTCTTTACCTTCACCAGTATCATACCTAGTTTTATCAAGTTAGTACCCTGTAAGAACTCTTCATACCTCAAAAAGTAAACATTGTCGTAATTTTTTTAACATCTTACGATATGATTATATATAGAAATTTTCAGATTTCATTTGGTTAGAGAACAAAACCTCTTTTTTTAGCAATATCTATTAATCTTATTTTGAAATAGATTAAATTAGTTTTAGATGACTATTTTTTATCCTGACAAATGGTTATTAAGAGCTTTTAATTCCAATATAGACATCTCCAAGATTAAATGTTGGAATGCTAAGAAAGAATATTATATATAAAATTTCTAAGCAATATTAAAAAATGTTGAACAAGAACAAGTTGGAGTAAGTTATTAAAAGGTCTAGATAAAATTGAAATTAATAATTCAATTGGATTTATCTAAAATTGGAGCTAGGGCAATAGCTGGGAAACCATATTAACAAAATGATATTAATTGGATAATATAAAGTAGAAAATCACTTAGAGTTTTTGGAACAAAAAAATTTTTATTGATATTTAACCAAAACTACATATATAATTTTCAACTTGTGAAGTACACATCAATTGATTATTTTCTAGTTCTGAGGCTTTATCATACCCCTAATTTAAGAATTTAGAATAGTATTCACTTTATAAAATGGAATTAGAATGTAATGAGGAACATGATTGATCAAACTAATTAGTGTATTTTTATAAAGCAGTTATTATCAATCCATAATATTAAGATTCTTTATGTTTTAAAGGCATCTTTAATTTTACATTTTACAATAGCATTCTTATCTACAATAGAGAATGCATATAATCAATGTTAGGATTGGTCAAATGAAATAGGCAATCAAATTTGTAAATAAAGCATGAGTCATGGATTCATAGGTTCAATATTCCTTTTCTTAACAAACATAAATTGTACTCAATTATTCAAAGTACACTTCCTAAAAATTCCTTTATTTTATCAATAATAATGGAGTGCTAGCATTAATATCAAATCAAATTTTACAAGATTAATTAATGATTCAAATTTATATATGTCATATTTTAAATAACTTTTGATAAAGTCAAAAAATAAAATTCTTTTCATATTGTATGGTTATAATCCTATATTTTATATATTAAGCTTTAGTATCAATATTCTTGTTATATGTTTGGCCTGCCACCTTATTTTCCGAAATAACTTTTCATTATTTTCATGAGTCATTCTTATCAATTTTAGGGTGCTAATTTCTACATCTATTGAAAAAAGAAGTTTAGCAATTATTTTTTTTTAACAAAAGCATATGATTCTTCTATAAAAACTGAATTTTAGCTATAGTGCTTGTTTAATTAGTTGCAGACTTTACTAACCTTTTTGTCAATAATGAAAAGGCATTTGGCTCATAAAATATAAGATGTGATAGAAAAAATAATGATGATAGTGATAAAAAATTATTATATAAAAAGTTTAACAATTAAATTGCCAATAAGATAAAGTTTAAAATTAACCCAATTATTTTATAAAGAAAGAATGTAATTTTTAATTGTCACAAAAACTTAGATAAATTGTACAAAATTCGGAAAAAATTGATACGCAACACATTCAATAGCAGCAATCTTAAAAATAAAGCCCTCATAAGTGAAGTATCTAAATGAAAAAGTGACAAAAAATTAATCAAAATTATTTTTAGCTTAAATAAGATCCATAATTAATACACAAAATAATCTAAGGAATTATTAATTAACTATCAATACTAAATCACCGTTATTTTTTATGTTTAAGTACTTTATAAAAAATCAAGAAAAACCTTTCTAATAACTATGAATAACTAGATTATTCAGTAAATCATTTAGAATTCTTTTTTTACATTTTCTTGAAAATTGAATTGAGACATAATGAAATGAAATATGATGAATTCCATATAATTAAATAAAATAAAATTTTATATAAATAAAATATATATATTTTATCTATGAATAATATATTTAACTTCATTGTTTATTTTGAAAAAAATTGATTGAATTCCCGAAGAACTAGATATATTTGATATATGAATGAAAATATATGTAATTTTGTCGAATATTTCTAAGTAAAAATATATCAAATCGATTAACCTATTTCTGTTAACAAAAATATATTGGTTTTGTATTTTTCAATCTCCATTATGATTACAGCTAATCAAGATAATGAAAATGGTTCTAAATTATTATTTTTGGATAAAACAATAAATATATAGTTCTAACAATGCTTGAATTATTTAATTTGTCTTATAGATTATTAATATTTGTAAATTAAAATTTATAAAAGAAGATCAAAAATATTTCTTTATTAAATTTTCAACTTAATAATTTTGTAATATTATGTCAAGAAATAATATGTAAACAACCCAAAAAGAAAACAAATATTTGGTTATAAATAATTAACTGAATCATTAATATAGAATATAGAAATTTATTAACCTAAAATGAATAATTATATTGTTATAGAGTATTTATTTCTATAAACAATTCTACAAATGTCAGAATCAAAATATTACAATCAAGTGCAAATATAAAGTCCACTCTGCCAAGAATAATATTCAGATGAATATTATCAAGCTTAAGCATACTATTAACAAGAAAATCAACCAAAATAACAACCAAATTTTATACCAACATATCAACCTTCATATCATGCAAATTAGTAAACAATTTAAGGATGGTAGTAACAATAGTATTACTTACAGAACTAATATGAAATATAATGTATATTTCTCTCAAATATTATAGATTAAACAATTGAATAACCTAATATTATTCATTATTAGAAAACATAAAATGTTAAAAGAAATTGTTGCCAAAGTATGTGCTGTATACAGTGTAAAAATTGCTTAAAAGGTTGTTTTAAATGTGTTCTCTATACAATTTTGTTTACAATTTTAATCATACTTTATGTTTACGACCTTTTAGAGGGGGATAGTAAATAATGAGAATGAATTAAATTAAAGTTATTTAATAGATAATTATTGTAAGGACTTAGAATTTAATACAAAAAGATTAAATTTTTGTTAAAATTACTGATATTATCAGGGTTCCTTTATTACAATTTAAATTAATAATAATTTTAAATTAAGTAATTTTTTAGTCTTGAGGTTTCTTCCAAATTTGTCCCCGTTTTCAACTTTTATCTGTGATGATTTAGTGGATAATACTAAAACAGGAGGGTAATAATAATATTCCTAATTTTAACAATTTTATT